ACGTCCAAAGTAGAGTGAGAAGTGAAGACAAAAATTTTAAACAATTTTCTTTAAAGTCTGACTCTATCACTTTAATCATCTCATGAGGAACACAGCACGAGTTAAGATCTTCACAAATGGACGAAAGCCTTGAAAATGTAGACCGTATATTTTTTTAAGGAACAAAAAAAGCAAACAAAAAGTGTCTGAAATACCCTGTTTCCACAGTTACGTCACAAACAACTGGACAATCAGCAAAACATGTCAATCAATATCTCTTACAGTAGAAAATATGAAATATTAATTATTTATAGGCTAACTCACTTTCACTCAAAACTAGGGTTAAAGAAAATTAAAAACATCCAAGTCTATCATTTAAGTCTTTATCGAAGACATGTGTGTTAAATATTTCTTTCAAATTAGTACAACAGGACATAACAATTGGGGCAGAAAATGTCTCAGTGTTATGTCATACAAGACAATGATGTGCAAAACATTGTGTGTATGTGAGGCATGATGGTGAAATTAGGCACTCGTCAATTTTTGGGGATGTGGCATTATTTACACCACCGAAAAGATCGTTCATTTGTTTCGCCTTTGGTGAAAAAAGTATTTATCTATCTTGAATTGGAGTTGAGATATTTGCAAATGAAGGCGATGGTGTTGTTTGGTTTCAGAAGTAAAATTAGCGAGAAAATGATCGACAAAGTTTGGTGACCACCAAGGCTTGAGAGTCCTTGGAAAATGCAAATTTACATCTTTTGTGCCTTTGATGAACATTTTTCAGTAAAATCTACACACGAATGTGTTTTGAAATGGACGTTGAAGATGTTGAGCCAAAAAAAAATAAATTGCCCCAGCGTCCATAAAAATGCCGATTTTTGACCAGGGCCTGATTTTACAATGATGCCTCACATATATTGTTGTGTAACGTGATAAGAATACAACACGCTCCAAATGAGGAAAAGTCATAAGACGTTACTCATACCAGTGGTTTTGCAAAAGCGGCAGTCTAAACAATTTGACACAGAACTAAGGTCAAATTAATATTGAAGAACTAACACAGGCTCACCTGTGTTCCACATATCAGTAAATTCCCTCAAAATAAAAAAGTTTTTCACACAAAAAATAGAAATAAACTACTGCACAAAGCACCACTGCTTTAATATTGATAAAATTGAAAACACATTCTCCATCAAATCTCCAGTAAGAAAAGATTTGACATACAGTAACCAACCAAAAATGGGTATTTTATTGCTCTTCTGAACCTTCAAAAGCACCATCATCAAATACAAAGGCATATCACTGAGTGACACGCGACTAAACACACTCTCACGGCAAACAGCTCCAACAATAGTGAAATCACTAGACAGAATTGTTCACAGGCTAATAAAAATGTACGCACTTGAGTATGGAGCAACTGCTACATATCCGCTACAAGAATTTCTTTTTTTCTTTTCGTTCAGAGCAGTTCAATTCTTTCAACTTGCTTTGAAGTTTTGAAAAGTGATGAGCCAGATTTATTTTTTTTCGAAAGAGTTTTACGGCACTTGCAGCACAATAAGGTCATATAAGTGCCGAAGATTAGATGTGTTACAAGGGAGTAACAAATACAAAAAAGAAGGAGGGGAGATAAAGATGACAGACGTTTCATAGGAAAGAAGAAGCAAACCACACCAGAAAACCCACCAACCACCCACAGCCAGTCCTTTTTCATGTGACTTCATCCCCCCGAGTTTGTTTTAAAGACGGTCATTGCCGCATATTATATATCATTTACTTTTAGCTCGGGCTTCCCACAGCCACGTCACAGCCTTCACAGCAATTCTATGCTTTACCTTGTGTAAATTCAAGGGAACAGGACCATCCAAAACAGTAATATTTTTGAAAAAAGAATTCAAATAATCCATGTGTCTTGTATATCAAAATTGCTGATTTCACAAAAAGTTCACCCCCTGACACTTCTCTTGATTGTCTTTGCCACAACAGCATCGTAGCATTCATATCTACTGTCTATATGCAGTGATCGCACATCTGAGTTTCTATTTTTGCTTCAAGTTCAAGCATGCTGAAAAGCTATTTGATTCTCTTTTTGAAAGCATAAAACAACGAGCCCTTCAAGAGAAACAATCCACATAAAAGCGCAAATTAAAAAAACAAACTATGACAAAAATTAACAAGCGTACAATTCTGAAACAACAACATGTGGAAGACAGTCATGTCGCTGCAGCACGAAAGTAAATAACATTTTTATAACGCTACATTGGAGCATCTCCTCAGTCAACTTGCAAATGAGCAAATAGTGCGTAGTCTTTGCTAATGCTAAGCAACACAGGCGGCAACATAGGCTGGGCTTCATCCACTCTCCACCAATTCAGTAACAATGTATTCATTTGGTTTCAAATTGCCTGTGGCAAAAACAGCTAACATTAACAGCAGTGTCAGAAAAATCTAAAGGTAATGCAAACAAATGTCCGGAGAAAAAAACTGAAGCTTTAAAAGCACTCAGACGCTTTGATATAAATGTTCACTCCAAAACAGAAAACTGGAGGGGGCAAACAAGACTACAAAACTAAATAAAACTATTAATGTTGTGCACAAATTCTCTGCATGACGGTTACATAAAATGTACACAAAGACTATTCATGCACTCAAAAAAACAGGTAAATAGAGAAAATAATAAAAATACAAGATCAAAACTACAATTCCTGAGAATCTTTGTGTAGGTACATTTTTGCTAGAATCAAAGAGACATGGTTAACCTCACCTAGCAAATAAACATTACAAAGACAGTTTTGATATTATAGTAATTGCTGTAGTGGAATCAATTTTGCGAAAGTGGTGAACAAAACCTTGCTAACAAATTACAGCGATGGAAATGGCAGCCTCCTCTCCGTCCACCCCCCTCTATCCTCCATTCCAAAACATCACAGGTTCAGACATATTCCTACAACTTGTTTAGACTCTTTCTCCTGCAGTATACCACAAAAATAGCCACATAAAACAAACACAATTTCGAAATCGAAGAGCAGGTTCTATTCCTGATGGTACCACCATCGAAATAGTAAGTGAATAAATAAATAAAACAAGACACTCCATTGGCAAAAACATCTTTTGATGAGACTGGCTTCAGGTTTTCTCGTAAGTCAAAGAAAATTTCATTTTGCAGCCAAAAACAAGCTACAGACAGACAACAGGCTGGGGACAACATAGAGGTAGGGCAAAAATGAAATCGCTCAGTGGCATCCTCACTAGGCCTGTGTAATTTCAAAGAAATAAAAAGAAAACGAAGCTGCAACTTTGTAGGTCAAACTGGAAGGTTGTGTCAACCAAGTCTCCTTCCGTCTTCCAAAGAATACAAAGTCATCAGCTGTAACTTCTGTCTCTTTGAAGGTAAGTAAAGACTGAATGGGAAACAGTGTACATATATAAGTTTATACTCATGCCGAAATCTTACCTTGCTGATGCTGATAAGTTTGTAAGTGAAAGATGACGAAATTAAGGAAAATCAAGATTTAAGGGAGTCCACAAAGTAATTTTCCTTCCCAAGTAACAATTTGTTTCCCTTCTAAATACAGCATGATGCTATCAGTCAGCAGCAAACTTCAAAGAAACTGGGTGCTATTTCAAAGTTCTGTCTTTGAATAAAATGGTTTTCACGCAGTTTGCTATGCCTCCCCCTACGTTTTTCTCAGTAAAATAAAAAACCCTTAACCCTTTCTCCAATAGCTTGACTTCAAGGTCTTTCTGTACTGTACAAAGGCTTGGAGACAAACAATAAAAAGACTCCAAGCTCAGCATTCTTCGAAAATTACAGAAAATTGTGATGAGAACAGTCACAAACAGAACAGCCAAGAGAGCGATAAAAAATCACAGCCTTCAAGGTTTTAAGTAAAATTTGCACATACTGTTGTGTCCAAGGGAAGAGCAGAGAAAGTATTATGGGAGAGACATATTTGCTGTACGATACTACTGGCGTGAATAATATACAACTTTGAGGTTGTTTATAACAATGTACAACTTTCTGTCCGCGTGGTTTTATGTGCCCCGCATAATTCATCAAAATTTGATCATTTTTTGAATAATTTCTGATTATTTTCCTTTATCATACTTTGTTTAAATTAACAGAATCGCATAAATTCACATTTTTGGGCTCAGTTAGCATAATTTCAGAATTTGTTTTGCATAAAACCACAGGGACAGAACTTTGAGGTTGTTTACAAGGGCCAAAAGAGAAAAAAAAAAGTATGAGAAATTCAAGAGAGGTAACTTATGACATTTCGTAACCTTAAGAAAAATCTACAGCGAATTGTATAGTGCAATATTGTCAATAAAAAAAGTCAAACTCCGGCAATAATAGCAGAAATGTCAGAGAAACGTTAGGCCAAAATCAAACTAAGAAACCATGGCACTCCTTTGAGCCTGGCCTGCACCCTAGTATAAAACAGTGTAAAATCATCACCCATCATGTCCAGAATCTGAAAAAGACACGAAATTAAGGATTCTTTTATCAATTCAAAAACATTGAGAAATGACAGATTCTATTTCCGCATCATGCTGATGGTTATAAAAGCCTGCATGACATTCCTCAATAACAAACTGTACAGCGTAATATCTTCTATTAGCATTAGGAAAATCAAACTTATAGAGGAAGACACAAGCAAAGGTATACCGTACAAAGCAGAATTGTTTCAAGCTTTAAAGAATCAAGCAAAACTGTGCGAATTTTGTAACTAAGCGGAAAAGACTCCAAGTACAACAGATGTGGTTGTACAACATTACAACCTAAGCCAAGGTGCAAAACTCTATAACACAAACTGTCTACCACTGTTGCATCATCTTGTCATAAATACATCATAAAAGTAAAAGAAAAAATGAAATACTACTGGTACTAAGATGCATTGTCGAGGTTCAACAGCTCTTTATACACTTCCATTACTCTGTCCCCGTGGTATTATGCACCCAGCATAATTGAGCAAAATTTGATCATTTTTTGCTTAATTTCTGATTATTTTCCTTTATCATTCTTTGTTAAAATTAACAGAATCGCATAATTTCACATTTTTAGGCTCAGTTTGCATAATTTCTGAATTTTTCTTGCATAAAACGACGGGGACAGAATACTGTAAAGGCTATTAACTTTATCCTGTGCACAATAATAATCCTCCAGTTCCCTCCCCTGAGACAGTATACACGACAGTGGAATATCTACAGTTCCAGACTGCAACTAAACACTGTCAAATGAACATCGCAAACGCTAGCTGTATTCTTTACACTGACCCAGTCATGATGATATATGGATTACCACTTCATTTTGTCAAATTTTACTCTGAAATAAAAATAAAAAAGGAGAAAATGAATGAGAATGATAATGATAAACAACATAAGATCAAGCCTCCTCAACATACACATGTTCAATGAGTGAGGGTGAAAATGATATTAGGAGTTCCCATGTATAACATATCCGACATTAAAGATGCAATAAAATAAATATTTAATGCTACTGGGAGTAGTTGCAATACTAATAAAAAATCAGGCAACACTGGCAAATTAGAACGGCTATAATATCAATCATACACTTAAACTATAGAGTAATCATTGGATAATTTTTTTTAATTAAAGGGACAACACTACACTATATGACTAGGGGGAACTGCAGTGCCTTATGAGCTAATCAGGAAGCAAACTATTCAGAACTAAACTTCTGCTCTTCCATTTTCATTAAAAAAATATTTCTTAACATTGTCAGCACAAGGTTCAAGCTGATGTCAGTGAGAATGCATTTTTGTACAGAAAAGAAACTGCAGAAAATAAACACCTCTCCATTTAAGTAACAGCTGTAATCTCCTTCACAAGCAAATGAAGGGCTCCATGACTAATGTACTATATCCATTAACTACAAAAGTGAGAAAAATGAAAAAAAAAACCAACACTTTTTCCAAGATAAAAAAAATATAAACAAAATGCAATTTTACCATACTAGGTATCAAATTTTAATGACAGAGTGCACTTTGAGAAAAAAAACACATATTCTCCATACAATTCTGATCATAAGATTATGGAGTGGATAGAGTTTTTCAGAAATGCCCAGATTTGTCTCAGGAACCCTTCAAATGATCCGCATCTTCCACATTTTTTCGAACAACCTACTGTTAATGTTGCCGTAACTGAAGTATCGGTATTACCAGTAGGCTCACAGCTGTTGCTGATGAGAATTTCGCGTTTATGAGTTTTGTGAAATGTCATAATTAACAGGATGATCTCTGGGGTTTTTTTTTGTTCGAGTAAAGAGAAGCATATTGACTCAAAAACAGTCATTCAGTGCAGGGAAAAGGAAACACAGATTAAATAGAAACACCGGAGGGAAACAAAAGAACTAGGACCTACCAGCTGTGCAACCCAGCCAACATGGCTTGCTGATATCTCAGAGAGCACAACTTACAAAATAAGTATGGCTTTGTTGACTTTGACATTAAAGAATCATACAGAAAATTCTAGGATGGAAGACATTTCGATACAAAAAAAACTGAAGACCTCATCTTCACAATAAATATGCATCTCTCAGACTATGTGTGCAAGGTGAGGACTCCAACCTATACATCACAGACAACAGTATACCTATGTAAATATGAAAGGAGCGCACCCATATGACCATATGCAGTTTTGAGTGCCGTATAATTCTTACTAAACTTACTAAATATGAGAGGAAAGAGAAATATAAGACCCAGGCATCTTGAATTTCTAGGGCTACAGATATTACTCTGAGCTTCATTCATTTGAAGAGGTTAAAGTGTAATAAAAGATAGGATTATAAGTGGGTAAAGAATAACCACTACATTTTGCTTTCAATCTCATTCATTCATATGAAACTTGATTGCCTTATTTCACACTGCTGATAATGTAAAAGGTATCTGAAATACTATTCTCAACAAAAACATTGCCATGGTTCAGGCGCTTTTAAGGTTTTGATTGGTAAGGGGGAAAAAAAAAAAAATTAAATTGAAAAAGCCCAAACAATAAAAGCTTATGAGGAGCCACAGAAATATTTTGATTTTAAACAGCAAGTTTACATCAGTTTGGAAAATATCTTTCAGAGCTAAGCACACATACAATTAATTTGTCTAACATAAACATCATAATTTACGAATTGGCGCACGTAATTCACTTGCACATCACAACACACCAGTATAACAGAAGATCTGAGAGGTTATTCATCAGCAACACTGGCATCTAAGCTTTGCCCGTCCAATTCGTCTTTACTTTTGTCAAAGCTTGTGATGTAAGACGAAATGAAATCGTATCCAGCTTCTGTGGCAAGATCTGAAGCCGTCTGACCCTCCTAGGATAACAAACAAATAAAACAGGGTTCAACCGATGGACAATTCAGAAAAATATCAATTAAAAAAACACCAAAACAAAAGGTGCTCTCTCCAGAGTTTACTCCTTGGAAATACTAATCAACCCCCCCCCCCCCCAAAAAAATCCAACCAAAAAACCCCCCCATAACAATGTTCTCCCGAGGTTATTGTCCACAAAAATATTAAATAGAAAAAAACAAAACCCAATCCAAACAAGAACATTTTTAAAGTTTTCAGGAATGCATAGATCATTTAACAAAGATTGTCAAGAGGTGATGAGAAAATTCTAGATTCTCACCTTGTTCTTGACCTCTTTGTTGACCCCCGCCCTCAGCAGAATGCGCACAGCCTTGAGGTGACCAAACAAAGCAGCTGCGTGGAGCACCGTCTCACCATTCTGAAAAGTGGACAAGACGAAAGTGACCACACTTGAACAACTGTGACCACACTAGAATGGCTGATGATTCATAGCTCTAATCCTTAGGCATTATTTAAAAAACAACAATTCTGAAAGTCATCAATTTTGAAATGATTTGTGAGGCGGCGTGGCGAAATCAGGCGCTTGTCAAGATAATAAAATCAAAGAAATCTGCATTTTTCCGCGGGTTTTGCGATTTTTTTCAAATTTTTGTTTTTTGGTTCAACACCTTTTATATCTATTGAAAAACACATTTCTGAGAAGATTTCAGTGACAAAATGTTGATAAAAGGCACAAAAAATGTAAATTATTTGCTTCCAAAGTCTCTCAAGCTCTCACCAGACTTTGATGGCCATTTTCTCGCTAATTTATCCTCTGAAATCAGGCGACCCCCACCTCCTTCAATTGCAAATCTTGACTTCTGTTCAAGTTAGATGGGTATTTTTTTTTATATCACAAGTAAGACAAATGAACAAGCTTTATAACGGTATCAATAACTCCATATACCCAAACACTTCCACCACGATGCCTCACATTTATCACTTTATATTTATCTTCAGATGTTTTAATAATATTAAACGAGGAAACTCGATATTTTTAGACGCAACCCCACTAAGATGAAATGCCGAGAGAGTTACCACAAGTAGAAATTGAGAAGAAAAAGAGGTCACAGTAGCATGAGCAGATGCTGTTTGTTCAGTATGTGTCCCAGTTGAGCAGTGAGGAGTTAGAATGGCTGTTAAAAAGGCTACAAGTTTGATTCTCCGTTTTGGCAGGGGCAATCTTATACCCTTTGAAAAGACAGCTTATCCTACTTTCATTCATGACAGGTTGAGTGGGAAACTGTTCTGTGGCTTATAAAAAAAACAACAACTCTGAAGGCATATTTAACGACACATGGCAATCAAGAACACTGAATGGACAATTATAAATGACACTAAACTAGGTAATGAAATAGTTATAATTTTTAAGGAGAAATCTCTCCATGTATCATGTGACCTGTCTCCTGTTTGTTTCGTGAGTTCACCCTTGTTACAGGCTCTATCTTGCTTTCACTCTCACTCATGTAGTGACAGTCCTTAAAAATCCATCTGAGTGAACGATCCACTTGATTATCTCTGTGTGGTCTAAATGTAAAAATGGTCACCACGCTAGAAATACACATAGAACCATTTAAATGCAGAGCAGTTCAAACCTTTAAGACTCCCAACTCTGGCTTGTGTTTGAGCAGTTCTGAGATGGTGTCCAAATGTCCCTTGTGACACGCCTTGAACAATGGGGTCGCACCGTCCTACACACACGGCCGGAAAATGGGAGACGGGAGAGGAGAGAAATGATGTATCATTACAGCATCGGTGTACAGATCAGTGTATTCATTTGCATATTTAGTTCTAATCAAGTAAATCTTACTTACCAGACAAAACTGTTCTCTGACAGTTACATTGTTCTATTGAAAATCTCACAAAAATAACTATGAAAACTAAAAGATAGAGCAAAATTACTGCAAAGATATTTTCCAACTCAATAAGAAACAATCACTGAAGAAATGAAAAATGAAAAAGCTGTCTTTGTCAATACACCTTTTACCCACAATGCAGCTACACAGGTGTGTTCAAGTACTACTCAAACATTTGTTAGCCCGTATAAAATTTATGAGCACAAACTCCCCACTTTGAGCCTCTCTGCACACAGACTAAAGCTGAAAACTTTCTGATGGACAAGGTCAGCTGTTAAATGGAATTCTAATTCCTGGCTTTAAAACTTTATGCCAATTTGTGTGGAACAGTAGCAGTGCCTTCATGTGCTTTCCCATCTAACATCTCCCAATGTTGGAAGCCAAACATTCAGCATGGTAATAACAAAACTGCCCAAGTCCGCTTTTCCCCGTTCCTTGTTACTGGTAGGGTAAAAATGCCTGTTATTTGTTTCGAGTCCTCAATACAAATGAGTTCTGTTCCATGTACTAAATATCCAATTATTGAGACATTTTCCCTAATTCATAATGTTGACTTAAGTATGTACTACTCTTTTTTAATTTTTTTTTTCTCAAAACAATAGAATATGACTTAGGCAAGGGCCCATTGTATCATGCTGAATGATGACGCGGATGGCTCTAGCTTGAATCCCCAAGGAGGCATTTTGAACTAGGATTGTTTTGGGGGAGTTTTTTAGGCTCTGCACCCATCTGGCTCGGTCCCATCAGAGATGGACATTAAATTCACAGGCCCGTCTCTTAAATGACCTAAAAGTGTTGAAAGGATAATAAAACCTAACACAATCAATGACTTTGGTGGTTAAGTTCCCACCGTGACGACGTCCCTCCTCACCTCTCTCACAGCATCCACCTGGGCGCCTGCGTTCAGCAGCGTCCTCACAGCGCTCGTGTGGCCCATCTGAGCCGCTATCCAAAGGGGGCTCGCCAGATCCTGGAGGGACAACGCAGTGACAAGTAAGGAGAATAGTTTTTTTTAGTTTTTTAGTTTTAGTAAGTGTTTTATGGCATTTGCAACACAATAAGGTCATATAAGTGCCGAAGATTAGAGGTGTTACAAGAGAATAACAAACACAAAAAAGAAGGAGGGGGGATAAGGACGATACATGTTTGATAGGAAAGAAGAAGCAGACCACACCAGAGCACCCGCCAAAAACCCATTCTCATATTTTTTTTTCGTCAATGAAATTAGTTTCAGGATATCATGAATGAAGGTCAACATGCTCCACAGACAAATGTGTTACAACGAAATCTCTAGGATTACCAGATTATTTTGGGACAGCTGTGTTTTTGGTTCAGAGAGATGGCTCAAATAGCTACGACCAAAAAAATCGAGAATCAATTTTCTTTCAGTTTACAGTTGTTTTCGGATTAACCGTGTTTGCTTTAAGTGGATTTCACTGCATCTAAAAATTATTCACTTGAAAGACTTTTCTATTATACAAGTCAGGTATATTGAGCTATAGGATATAAATGAGCCATTAGGAAGGAAAAACACTTGAAAAGGTGCTAATACAAAAGAAGAGACAAAGAAAGAAAGGAAGAGACAATAGAGACAGTACAAGAAAGCATAAACCACACATATATACACTTGAGCATGCATGTTGCTTGTGGTCAGAGGACACCACTGGTAGGTCCTACTTCTTTTCTTTCTCGTACTCGCAACCATAAGGTCGAGAATTCAAATCCCCTCAGGGGCCTGGGGTTCTGTCCTTGAGAAAGGTATTTTACATGAAATTTCCCCACTTCACCCAGGTGGGAATGGGTACCCAGCTGTAGACTGAAAGATCTTGTAAGTATGTTAGTGTTTGAGAGTGTGAGATCCGCAGCTTGTACTCTAAGCTTAGGGGGAAGTCGAGAATGTTTTTGAATGTTCTAGGGCCTGATGGGGTAATAATAGATGTAAAGTGCTTAGAGATACTGTTGAGTGTGAATAAGCACTACCGGGTATATCACTGGTGTCACAAGAAATCCACTTAAGTCCGTTTGTGTACTTTTTACACAAGAGACACAGGAATAGTTTTTGGGTTGGTTGTTTCTATCAGGAATCATGACAAGCAAGAAAATTGTAAGCCTTGACCATACCATTAAGTTGATTAAGCTGCACTTTGGTTTTATTGAAAGGTGCATCTTTGATAGAGCTTTGGCAAGGCGTAAAAATAAAAAATTCTCAAAATTTGGACTGGAGTGGATTGCTTGCGACAGCGACAATATAAATGCAATTATTGTACCAAATTATAATTATCATTATTCAAATCCACTGAAGGGGCCTTACTTTTCTCTTCAAGTTGGGATCAGCTCCTTTGGCGATGAGGAAGTCGAGGAGGTCTGCGTGTCCATTCTGTGCCGTGATGAAGAGGGAGGTAGCCCCGTCGATCATCTGGGCGTGAACGTCGGCTCCTCCAGCCAGCAGTTCTGCCACGACGTCCTGGTGGTTGCACTGGCAGGCCACAAACAGCGGAGTGCCTCCGTCCTGGACAGTCACAGAGAAGAAAAAAAATGATAAAATTTCCTATCATTTGGACACAACGTAAGTTCAAGAACACACTGTTGGGAATTCAAACAAGGTGGTGGCTAACCTAGTTCAGAAATTGATACTCTCTTTGTGTATTGGTGTTGGAGCAATTGTATCAATGACAATGCATCTTGAGCTGAGTAGTGAATACTTAACAGGATGCTTACAATGTTTCAGAATGTCAAAAAATCATTCCGGGTGATGCAAAAAGATAAAACGAATAAACCTTTACAAATGGAAATAATGACAAATCAACTGTTAAGTGTAAGACTCCACCATATATATACAACGAGGTGAACATTTCTCCGAACGCTCGGGAAAAAAAACTTGACCTCTATTTCTCCGAACGGCTTCCATTTTTGACATTTTTGTGTTATTTGAGACTATTTCTGCGTCATCTTTCATTCTGCCATTCTGCGAGGACTGGGAGGAAGCATTTTTTGCATCAAATTCAATTTCTAGAGCTAGAGATTTTTAAAATCTGAATATTCAGATACTTCAATAGTGGTAGGGGCAACGTTCCTGGACAATACGTACCTCATTTGAAAATGCCTTCAAAAAGTACTGCGAGAAAACAAGACTGCTTGACTTTGGCAGTACCTATTTTGCATTTAGTCACCCCTAAAGCAAAAAGTAAAATCCTTCATGTGAACGGAAAAAAAAAATCCCTTCACGCCCCCCCCACCCCCCCCCAACCCGTTCACACCTTACACACACACATACACACACTCTCTCACACACACGCAAGCTCGCGCACGCACAGGCCACTCCATTCGCAAATAACCAACAAATCTCGAGAACATAAACCGTTCGTAGAAATAGAGTTCAAGTTTATTTTCCCGAGTGTTTGCAGAAATATAACCGACCTATACATAATTTTGAAGAGTGATTTTTGACATTGTCTCACACTGAGTCGTTGATATGTCACATAAATTCTAAAGCAATTTGTTTTAACATGAAAGGTATTATATTATATATGCCTGTTTTACTCACAAAACTGGCGAGGTCAACATTTGCGCTGTGCTCCAACAGAATTTTGACCACGTCAATGAAGCCACCCTGGGCAGCGAAGAACAGAGCACATGTACCTGTCTGGTGACAGAAACAAAAAAACGAAAGTGGGTCAAAGACGTCAAGACATCATATCGCGATCTCGGTGCTTTCTTGTCCTATCTCCATTTTTAATAACAGTGAAAACAGTCGACAACAAAGAGTGAGCTAAGGAAGAAGTCACATTTTCAGTGTTTAAAAAAATTGGAGAAAGGACAAGAAAGCACCGAGGTCGTGATATGCAGAGGTGTCAACTTGGGAAAATGTTTGACCTATAAGAGACGGTTAAAAAACAACTGTCATTCTGTCCCTCTACTGTAATATCTCAGGACCACTTGAGAGCTATTTCCCATTTCAAATATTTTACACCTACATCGAGAAAATTTAGTCATTAAAAGATGGGCTGCTCCAGCCTCGCAAGTCAAGGCCAACCTGGACCGAGTGGGACGCAAAATCCCAGCAGAAAGATGGAGATATTTTATGAAACAAATAACCTGTTTGGGAACTGAACTCATTTATTCTGCGTGCAAGGCAAAGAGCTTTATCATTACACCACAGACAGTGCTTGATTATTTTAGCCCATTTTGCCTTCTTCAAGAGAGAAACTACAACATAAGATCTTAACAGAAGAAACATCATTATATCAAAAGGTCAAATTCAGAAAATGTTCTTTAAAAAAAAAAATCCCATTCTTTAAGAGAGCACAGACATGTATAAAACAGACAGAAAGGCTGTTCTTGATTATAATATATTCCTGGCCAGCAATTCCAACTCACCAATCTTCTGGCATTGGGATCGGCGCCCTGTTCTAGCAGTTCTTTCACACAGCTCAAATTGTTGTTGGCAGCAGCGAGAATCAAGGGAGTGGTGCCCTCCTGATAAGAATGATAAAAATAAAATGATTTTTAAAAGTAAAAGTTTTACAGCATTTGTAATACAATCAGGTCATATAAGTGATAAAGGCGGGTGGTTGGCGGGTGCTCTGGTGTGGTTTGCTTCTTCTTTCCCATGAAACATCTATCGTCTCTATCTCCCCTCCTTTTTTGTGTTTCTTACTCCCTTGTAACACCTCTAATCTTCTGGCTCTCATGTGACCTTATGCAGTTGTGAGCGCCGTAAAACCTCTACTACAACTATAAAAAAAAAACCCTAAGTGATAAAGACCAAAAGTATTAAAAGAGTGTAACATACACAAAACAAAGAAGGAGGAGAGATAAGGTGGATAGTTGTTTGACAGTACAGACAGAGTAAAACCACAGCAGAGTACCCGCCAACCACCCACACAAATCATCGTATGCATAACCCATGATAAAACGTACAGAAACACGGTGTGAAGAGGAGAAAAATAGTGAGCGAAAACACAGCAGAAATATGTATAGTGAAGGTTTACATTTCTCTCAATACCCGGTACGAGAATTGCGTTATGTCACAAAGAAAAATCAAAGCAAAACACTGCATGGGGTCCTAACGCAAAATCCAAACATTTTCTCTACTCGTGTGTAGCATTCATTAAGAGAGAAAAAAGTCACATAATCAGCCCTAGCAGCTCAAAAGGAATGTATCATCTCAAGAACAACTCACATAATACTGTTTTGAGTGTGAGTAAAAAAAGAAGCACATCGGCGCTAAAACCGCCATACATATAGTGCACGGAAGAAGGAAGACAAGATAGTTTTAGTTTTAGTAGGAGTTTTTAGTTTTAGTAAGAGTTTTACGGCACTTGCAACACAATTATGTCATATAAGTGCCGAAAAATTGATTATGTGTTACAAGAGAGTAACATACACAAAAAGAAGGAGGGGAGATAAGGACGACAGTTGTTAGATAGGAAAGAAGTAGCAAACCACACTAGAGCACCCGCCAACCACCCACTTAATAAGAGTTTTATGGCACTTGCAACACAGAAAGGTCATAATATAAGTGCCGAAGATTAGAGGTATTACAACAGAGTAACAAAGACAAAGAACGGAGGAGAGATCAAGACGATAGATGTTTGATAGGAAAGAAGGAGCAAACCACAGCAGAGCACCCGCCAACCACCCACTACGACAAGATAGACAGAGCAGTGTACAATACAGTTGCAACAACAGAGCGGCATCCACCAGTCTTAACTAAACTTTAATCTACTTGAGTAAAAAAACAAACCCACCAACCCCCCCGCCCCACCCCTCCCCAATCATACCTCTGAACATCCTCTCCCCCTGCCGTCCCTTTTTTGGGGTCACATTTATACACGAATCAACTTGCTCATCAACTGAACACAAATTTAATTCCACAGAAAAACTAAGTGTGAAAACCCCCACAGAAAACTAAGAGGAAAAGCAAATACAGACAAACAAACAAAACAACAACAACAACAACACCAAACAACAATAAACACCCCGTCCCCTGAACAACATAAAAACCTACGACAACCAAAAACTTCACGATACCCCATGGACATCCCCGCCGAAATACACAACAGTATGTGGGTGGTTGGCGGGAGCTCTGGTGTGGTTTTGCTTCTTCTCTATCAAACATAATATCCTCCTTATCTCCCCTTCTTCTTTTTTATGTTTGTTACTCTCTTGTAACACCCCTAATCTTTTGGCGCTCATATGACTTTAAGCAGTTGCGAGCACCGTATAACCTCTACTAAAACTAAAAAACTCAACAGTACTAGCAGCAGCAGGTCATTCAACTAAAACGCAGTCCAAAGAGACGCAGTCCAAGACTCGCCCACCTGACGCGGTAATGGAAGAAGCCTGACTACTGAGGCTAATCCAAACTGACCCACCGGGGCATTCCTAGTCCGTCAGACCAGCTACCCCCCCTCCCCCACCCGGCAGTGCTACTGACTGAAGTTGTCTTTAGGCCATTCCCAAAGGGGGGATATTAAAACCCTTTCCCACAGTGCATTGTACTGAGGAGAAGGACATTTTTGTTTCTTGCTTTGATAGGAGACCAGAGATGCATTCTTTCGAAATACAAATGCTGACTCCGAAAAAGCCAAGTTCTGTTTTTTCCTGGAAGTTCACAGGGAGAAATGTTTTGTTCCTCCTAACTGTGCCCACCATAGTGAGGTTGTCTTTTTCCAGAACTTCAGCCAAGTCAAGAGTGGTAAAAAAAAAAAAAAGGTCAGAAGTTATATTTCTGCCACAGCCCTTGAAGTTTTGAGTCAGCTTTAGATTAGTGTTGGAACCAACGGCACTGTCGTTCTCTGTGACTGGTCGTGGTCCTGTTTGCCCTTTGCCCAAAGAGGGGAAGCCTGTAAGTGGGTAGCTGCTTTCAAGTCACATATCTAGAAGACTTTAATTCCATATATTATATTTGTTTGTTTTGTTTGGGATGTACTGGATGAAAGTGGCAGTGCTTAGCTAGGTTGGTGTGGAAGAAATCCCAAACATCGCCGATGGGAGAAAACTTGTTCCTGGTTCATTGCTGTATCCAGATTATTTGTCATCAAATCTGATATAATGATTCAGCAGGTGACTGACTGTTTTTTAAGAAAACTTCTCCAGAATGTTGACACTAGGCCTCACCAGTCAGCCTGCTCGTGTCACAAAAAGTACTTGGAACCACTGTCAGTCACTCTTCCTTCAGCACTTGCATAGCTAATAAAAAGTAATAAAATATATATTATATTCAAGAAAATGCCAGTGAGCGACTGACGGGAGCTCTGGTGTAGTTTGCTCCTTCTTTACAATGAAACATCTGCCGTCTTTACCTCTTCTTTTCTTTTGTATTTGTTACTCTTTTCTGACACCTCTAATCTTTGACACTTATGACCTAACTGTGTTGCAATTGCTGTAAAACGCCTTCTAAAACGAAAAATAATGCCGAATGCATTTGTCTGCACCACCCTGCATATTTAAGTATACATGTTTGAACCACCCAGCAATAAAAGTGTACGGGTGTGATCCACCCAGCCGGTAGGACTGAGGTATGAAATATGCTGGTGGGGAAAGGGTTAACATGTTCTTATGCACAGTCGAATTGAAAATGGGGTGATTTATCAATGTCATGCTCACACTGTGCCGGAACAACATAGTAAAGTTTTACGCAAGGACCTTACAACTGTATAGCCCCCTTGGTTTTACGGCATTCTCAACTGCATAAGGTCATAAAAGCGCCAAGAGGTGGATGTCAACAGAGAAGAAGTTCAAACGGGGGATCAGGCTTACTCTGCTCACCTCTCTAGCCTCAAAAGCAGAAAGTCTGCTTCAATTATCAAAGCACCCCGGAAATAGCAGTTCACAAGAGAGCGACAAACATACAAAAGAAGTAGAGGAAAAATGATGCTAGATCTAGTAAGGATTAGGAAAGAAAAAGCAGCAGTTACCCCTATGTTGTTCCGGCACAGTATGAGCATGATATTGATAAATCAGCCCATTTACAATTCTACTGTGCGTAAGAACATGTTAATATGCCTCCCCCTTTGGGAATGGCCTGAAGACACTTCAGTCAGTA